CCAGCTTTAGTCCCATCTCTCCTACACAGGGACTCTTAAATTCGTATGTCGTGACCTAGAGCACCATCCTCATTTCCCACGGGGATGAACACAGGGGCAAAATGACTCTCCAGGTCACAGCCCCAGGGACAGATGTCCCCAGGGTTCTTTGCCCGCTGCATTCACTGATAGGCAATGCTGAAACAAGTCAAGATGCAGAGCTGGCCCTTGGGATTTTAAGAATTAGATGCATTCATCTTGTGTGTAGTGGAAGAATGACTTGTGTGCCAGGAGCTGTGACACAGGCTTTGGGGTTGCAACTATCTCTGCAGCATCACAAATGCTGGTCCTGCCTCTGTGCCCTACATCACCCCCACTGCACTCTGCCAACTAGCTCAGCCCTGCAGTGCTACTGCACCTCAGACCTGAAGGGCACAGAGTATCCATACAGTCTCCTTTTAACATCATTAAACACATCTTGGTTCTGACAAACATCCTTGAAAACAAGGCTGCTTCTCCCTGGCAGTGTCACTGCTGGCTATATCCTCCCATGATGGGCACCCTGAAAATCCCTGTAGTCAAGGTACCCCATGGCCAGGCACCTCTCCTCCCGGAGCAGGCAGTGCCCTGCAGCAGCCCCCATTTCCCCTTTGTTCCCCAAGCCATCCGAGCCACAGGGATAGAAGTGGATGGACCATGCAGGGAAGAGCCCAGGTCCTGCCACTCAGTCTTGTGCGTGGGTACAGCCTGCAGCACATCTGGAGAGAGGTAAAGGCTTGCTCAGAAATATCATCACACATGGGGATGGTGAGGTGAGGGAAAAGAATGGCTTTCAGCTGATGGCAAAGCCTCAAACTTTTCTGCATCTCCCAGCAGAGAGGCATTACAGTTACCATCTCTAAGCATCTTGCAGGTGCTCTGTGACTTTATAACAAATATGAATTTAAGCATTTCAAGTTAGATTAGAAACCACTTGCTTTGTTGGTTTGATTGCTCAGCATTATTGGCCCAGATCTGTCCAGGGGCCAAGCTTCCCACAGAGCTTTTTGCCATATATGATATGTGCTTGAGAAGCCAGTATGCTCAGGGTGTGCAGGGAGTTCCCACTCACTTCACAGGGAATGGCCCTGGCTGTGCTGGGGGGCTGAGGCAGCCCTGAAGCTGTGGACTTCAGCCATGGAAATGCAAAGTTTCTTTTTTTTCTTGCTTAATTTGTTTTTAAACTTTTGGAGAACACACCTGGTGCCTTCCCCAGTGGGCAAGGGGTCTGACGCAGGTTCCTCCAGGCAGAGGACACTTGAGCAGTACCTATTGCACAGGGATTAGCAGAAAAAGCCACATGCTAAGGAGAGAACAGCCAGGTGAGGAAACCATCCCCGGTGCCACCACCCAGCAAGCAGCATGAGGGCAGGGGGCTGTGACAGCCTATCTGTGCTGCAAAGAGCAGACACCTGGCACAGCTGGGGGAAGTGCCTTCACATCACCAACACATCCTCCATCTAAATCTGAAGTAGTCTTACTCACCACCACATTTACCAACTGAGGCTCAAACCCAAGACATACTCCACTCTTCCTCACACTCCAGCCAAAAGCATCCTTGGAAAGAGAAACCACTAAAATAAATCAGAAGCATCCCCTCCCCTCACACTGATGTGGGTCTCTGCTGGAATCAAGACTCAAGAACTGGCAATAGGATCTCAAGGGGTTTCTAGCAATAGGTCCAGATCACAAGCTTTTCTGCTCAGGACCAAACCCACAACCATCTTGTGCTGCTCTGCACCCACATAGCCACTGAACTGGGATGGGAAGCATCTGGAGATGATGCTCAGGCCCAGAAAAAGGGGGTTGGGGGTTGTCCCTACACAGGGCTATGCTGCCCATTGCTGTCTGGGGCAGGAGAAGCAAGAAGTTCCCCGAGGGGAGCTGAAAAGCCAGTACTGGGGGCATACTGGGGGCTTGCCCAGGCAGTGGGTGAGCCTGGTGTGGCCCAGGGGCCACACAGAGCAGCAGCTCTGCAGAGGTGAGGCTGAGCTATTGCATTTAGGGAAACTTCCCATCAACACAGACAAAATGACAGTCTCACTTGATGCTTTTAAATCCAACCTTGTCTAATCCCTTTCAGAGCAGCTCCGGGTGGGAGAGCAGCAACAGCACTGGAGGTTGTGTACCTCCATCCCACCACTGTTAGCAGGGATGCAGCTCTAGCAGCCCTCTCCATCTTCTGAGGAGAGCATATCCCAGCCTATTTGGCAGACAGCCCTTTCCTTCAGAAACAAGCTGTCCTGGCTGGAGAGCTGGGAGCAACCAGCTGGATTTCTTCCAAAAAGCCTGGTCACAAAGCAACTGGCAGAAGTGCTAAGGGAATAAATTTGCTTGGCAGCTACTGGCCAAGTGGCAATGACTCAATCCTTATCTGTGTGTCTCCAGCATCTGGCATGCTGGGAGAGGAATGCAGACAGTACCCCAAAAGCTGCACCTTTCCAAAGCACCTCTTCCCCAGGAAACTCAACAGGTATTAAGATCAGATCCTGTAATAACATCAGTTAAGATTTACATATTTTAAAAGAAAATACTGGTAACCTGATGGTACTTCTGTGTCTGTGGGATCTGGTGGGATTTATTCCAGGTTTGGATTTTCTGACAGGATGTGAAGTTTTATTACAAAGGCACAGGTATCAAATAAAACCAGCAACATTATTTTAATTAAATATCCTAATAAAAAATTAATGCTCAATTTAGGCTTTACATATTCCTCCCTTATTAAGAGACTAGCTTTTGTTTTGATTTTTTTCCCCCCTTTGGAAAGGTTTTAGTGCAGTGATTATATAGCAACAGAAAAATAAACTAAAAAAGGCACAAACTGTTTTGTGTTTTGTTTTTCTTTCAGCTTTTGCTAACACTTTATATTTGTCTGTTTTACTTCGGTTAATAAATCACTGAATGCAGCAAGAAAATATTCTGCCCATTTCTGTACACTATACAAGAACCCCTACCAACAGTACATTATTTCAGCTTCAGGAGAAATGTACAGCATAGAAAGACTTTTAAAAATATAGTGCCCCATACATAAATTTAGTTAATTAAACTCATGGTCTCTTGCTACAGTGCCCTTCACCATCCTCACTTCCCCCCATTGCTGGGGCACACACTGGGACTCTGCCCCTGGAGTCCCAGTGTGTCCCTCCTTACGGGCTGGGCCGAGCCTGAGCCCAGCACTGACAGCACTGTCGTGGTTGTGCCAAACAGCTCCTCCATCCTGGCATCACTACCTCTCCATGGCCCAGCAGGGATGGGGTGAGCAAACCCCTCCTCTCATTCAGCATCGCTGAATGTGCTGGGAAAACGTTCAGCTGGAGAGGAGAGGGCAGCTCTTGGCAGGAGTGAGACAGACAGCACCCCACGTCCGAGGTCCATGCTGCCTGTCCCCTGCATCTGCCCCACAGCTCCTGTCCCCTCCACATGCCCCATGGCTCCTTCCTTCTGGAGCTCTCCTGCTGACACTTCCATTGTGTTTGTAAGTGCCAGCGTGGTGAACACGTGCTCCACCCTTCCACCAAATTCACTGTGATTAGGTGGGGGGGTTCCCCCTCCATAATACTTCATAAAATACTAATTGGGGTGTTTTTTTTCCCCAGGAACTAAAGGGGCTTTCCTTTTCAGTGTATTAGCAGAGCCAAACCCCTCTACCCACCCGAATTAAGTGCAGCCAGAAATGGTTTTCTGCATACCTCTGATACCACACTTTAAAAATTAAATCCTACCGATCTTCTTTTTCCCCAAGACGCAATTCATGCAAAGTTGCTATTTGTTTAAATAAGTTATAAAAGTTGATATCTCAGGCTAGAAGAAGCTGTAAGTCTTGGTTATTCTTTAGTTGGCAGGCACTGTACATACATACCGGGTACAGACACATGCCGAATCTGCTTTGCATTGCTTTTTGCATTGTACAATTCACAAATCTGACATCATTAAAGCAGTTAATTACCTTTGATGGAAGGCTGCAGTGAGGCCACCTACATTTATCAAACAAGCAGCTGGTTAAGATAATAAGTACGCTCCCCTCCCACCCCGGCGCTCCCCAAAATGCTATTATCTGTCACACGTTGCTTCTCTGAAGTGGTGAGATTTGGTGCACACATTAATGTGCAAATGTGTTGCCATAGGAACTGCAGCCTCCATTACGCCTCAACGACACCATTCAGCAAAAGCCAAAACTAAAAATAATAACAACAACAACAAGAAAAAAATAACCCTTAAAAATAAAAACAAAACAAACAAACAAAACCCCCAAAAGGCAGCAAAGAGAAAGTCCAACGCACATGCGGAGTCTGGCCCAGGACTGCAGGTTACACGTGGCTACGGAACAGCGCAGGAGATATTTAGGTTTGATCTTAACTTCACACTATGGTACAATGGGGCTCAGTTCAGCCGCTCCGAGTCTGTGCTGGCGTAGGAAGGAGGGGGAGGTGGAGCGGAGTCGTGGTTACCGGATGCACCCAGGATCTCTCAGACATTTGGCAGAATGAGGCACATCCAAAGAAAGTGCAACACCAGTGCCGCGGTGGCAGTGCGATGTGTTTGTGTGCGTGCACGCGCTTTCCTCTTCATGCATTGTAGCAAGCAGGTTGGGGCGGGGGGGGCAGGGTTTGCCCCCCACCTTTTCTTTGAAAACTATTAACCAGTAAATAACGGTAAGACGAATGCATATTCTACTTACTGGTGCGTGAAATACTGAAAACTGCATTCAAGTAATATTTCTGCGCTATTATGAATGCATCACTATGTTATCTTACATCTGGAAAAGGAGAAGACTATGTACACCAGAGCAGTGGGACTATTTTGCAGTAAGTTTCTGTGCTTTACGGAGGTACCTGGGAAGGAGAGGCTGCTGCTCTGCCGGGTCGCAGGACTCCCAGCACCACCACCTACAGCATGCGAGGAAGGGGCGCTGAACGGAGCTAACCAAAAGGTGACATGAGGGAACAAAAACTCAACCCAAAATTGGCAAATCAACGGTGACAAGAAATAGAAGGGTAATTTATTCTTTTTGAAGGGGGAAAAAATATTTTTTTCGTTTGGTTGGTTGGGTTTTTTTTATTCTTCCCGCAGCTGCAGGCGGTAGCGGTGGTAGCGGACCTGGAAAAACATTCTCTCCAGTAAGGAGCGTGTCATCCCTGGCAGGGCATAATGTTCAACAACACCCTCGTGCTTGAAGCCCAAGGACTCGTAGAGCTTGTGGGCTGCCATCTTCACAGCCGTGGTTCCCAGCACGACGGAGGAGTAGTTGTTGAGCATGGCAAACTCCAGCACTTTGCGGCCCAGGGCCTTGGCGATCCCTTTGCCGCGGTAGTTGGAGTCGACGGACATGCGGCGAAGCTCCACCGTGTTGTCCTCCTCGTTGCCCCGCGCCGCCACGATCCCCACCACGTTGCCGTCCAGGACGGCCACCCAGAAGCAGGAGCCTGTGGAAGATAAAGCAGCACATGTAGCCACCAGCCACCCTGGATGGGCAAGGCAGGCAAAGTGCCCATTAACAAACACACGGGTAGGAGCAGGGCCTGGGACAGAAACCACCTGTCACACATGGGGACTAACCACCTCCACAAATAAGGACCAAAGTCTTTTCCCTCGATGCTGTGAAAGGAGTTCTATTTCCAAGGAAAATGCATAGGAAAGTCCCTACAAACTAAAGCAAGATTGCCAGGGACTAAGCGTAATGAAGTGCGTCACACACAGGAAATGGTCCCCAGCCTGTGGTGGTACACAATGGGCAACTTCTGACCCGCACAGTCACACTCTTCTGTCCTACCAGTAACTTCACTGCAGTGACTCCTGGATCCCTTCCAGCACAGCAAAACCCATCCCTGGCTGCTTGTTGCATCCACTCTGAGTCCCAGGGCTGGCACAGGCAGCCCGTTGTGTGCTTTGCTGCCAAAATCCCCTTTTACTAAGGGCTGTACTGTCCAGAGGCTCTTGTCCCCAGGCAAACAGCTTGCCTGAGGTATGTGGCAGGACATCACTGGGCTGGACTCACCTGCTGAGAGTCACCAATGTGCTCTGGGCATATTCCACTCCACAAGACTGGAGTTAAACAGCCCAGGTGGGTTCTCAGGGCTGCACAGCACCACTCCCCCTGCAAAACTGGGGGTGGGGGGGAATGAGTAAGGCAACTCAGAATACTTTGCCACTGGAGAACAGCAAAGTGCGTGGTGGCGGGAGGTGCCTATCCAGCTGCTGCCTGCAGGACAAATGCACCTTGTGACTCCTTGAAGCCATCAGAAAGACTGCTAAGGTCTTCCCCACTTCCCTGTGGCACAGACCAGCTGCTAAGGAAAAACCAGGTACAAATGAAGGGTGGGGAACCAGCCCAGATTCACCCCAGCACACTGGGCTTATCCCCACCTTCAGAGCGACACGCAGCTCCAGTGACGCTCACTTCTGTTCCCACTGCAAGTCATTATGCTGCTGCTATCTAGGTCAACAGCTAATTTTTAAAACACCGGGGCCCATCTTGACCCATTTATCACGAGCAGTTAAGATGTCTCTGCTCTGCTGCTGTGTTGACAGTGTGGCTTGTTCCCCTGTGCTCACTTGGATCTCAAAACATAATTTATTCAGACACAGCCCCAGATGAACAACTACAAGCACTGAAACCCAAATACAAATAGCAGGGTAGAGAGCTCACTGCTGGTTTTAAACTGCTCATCACGTGGTGGCTGTGCCCAAGGCACCCCCACAGCCCATCCATCATGCTTCTGGCCACACGACAAGAACACCACAACATCCTCACCCCTACATGCACGGCCAATTTGAGCTCCTGCGGTGTAGCCCATGAAGGAGGATCATGAGGTCCCTGATGTTTGGGGAGCAGAGGTGGGATGCTTCCCTGAGGGCATATGGTGCCACCTCCAGCACCCATCCAGTCCTGGGGCCCCCAAAAATGCCACAAAGCAGCCATCAAGTGGTGTCTGCAGCTGTGGCACGGCCGTCACATCCCCCTCACCCAGCCCCGTGCACAGCAACTCCTGGAGATGCTGCTTCAGTGAGTCTGCCTCATTTTCCTCAAACCAGAGACAACCTAGGTTCCCCTTGATTCGAGGTTGCACAATTGTTTCCATGATTGCTTCCCGCTTTTCTCTCTATTTTCCCTTCTTAGCAAGCACCTTTCATCTGCACCCACCAGCCTAAGAGTCTGCTAAAGCTCACTCAGCAACACTTCCCACATTTGTAAAATGGCACGTTTCTAGTACTTTGGGGTCTTCTGCCTATTTAAAACCCAAATCTGGACATACCTATCACAGCTGAGCCCCCAAACCCTTCACATTCCCAGTCCCTCTGACTGCCCTTTGCATACCCCCACACCTGTCCATCCCAGTGGGGACCAGCCCTGGTTGCAAGCAGCATGACAGCAAACCTGTGCTGCTTGTTAGTTTTCACTTACAACTTTAAAGCTTAATTATAATGATTTTGGGTTCAACATGAAAAGAAATAGTATCTGGCACATCTCCCAGTGTGTGTTGTGCACACAACGCTTATAATTAGCCACAGACAGGACACATCTGCTCAAACAATGCAAGTTGTATTCAGCTCTTGCTTACACCAGCGCCATCCGCCCCCGAGACTTCTACCCTGCTGTCCATCTCATGTTTGCATCCACTCCAAGGATCACCAGCACCCAGATCCTTCAGCCTACTGAAGACACCTCAATTTCCCAAAGGTGGCTACAAGCCCAGGAGCAGCTTTCCACCATGGAGTTGTCAAATCCCTCCTCCAGGCAGCTACATCCCATTCAGATGAAGACTTGCTACTGAACACTGTTTTGGGATCACACCACATGCTGCTCACCTCAGGCTGAGACCTTTTTTTCCTCTGAGAAAACCCTCCAGGTTCAGAGTAGGGATGCTGAAAGCCTTCAGATTGCATTTTACCTACATGACCTAGATGACCTTTAAAGGTCCTTTCCAACCCAAACTATTCTATGATTTTGTGTTTTCTGCAGTGCTAGCCAGCTGCAGCTCCTCACCATATCCACTCTTCCAGCAGCACTTACTCTGGAGCATCATGGAAGCAGCCTGGAAAAACCACTCTGCACTGCCACCTCCCAGGGGTGCCTCCATCTTTTCTGGACTAAGGGGATAACTCAGAGCATGGCTTGTTTTTGTGCTTTTTCATACCTGGGACGTAATAAAGCTAACTTCATCTCACCTGTCAGTAATGAGCAACAGCCTTGTTTGCAGTGCTATTAATAGCAGGAGCTGACGTTTTACTCTCACATGCTATCTGAAAATAATCACTGCTGCAAAGATAAACACAGACCCTGATGGCTACAACTCTCCCTGCCCTTCAGATACTCATCTCATGGCAGCGTTTCTGTCTCTGCTTTCACACTCCTTTGCCTCTATCTTCTGAAGTCCCTTTGCCAACCCATTGCTATGGTCATCTAAAGCCCTTCCAGCTCACTCCAAGATACATTCCTCATCCTCATGGATGTCTTGTATTTAACTACAGCTGCCCTGGAAACACCACTCTGCAGCACTGGAGATAGCTTCTGGAGGCACCAGCTGTTTCCAGCCAAACACCAAGCTTTGCAGCACTGTACCCCACCTCCTTCTGGACTGCCAACAGTGAAAGTGAGGAGAAGCAGCCATGGAAACCCCACCACCACCTTCCTTAGCTCTCTCCACTCCCCAAACTCATTGCCTCACCACAGAGGGTCTTGCACATAACAAGGAACACGATTTTGGGTTGTTCATGCTCCATAGCAAGGTCAGACATGGCTCCTCAGCTGATGGCATCCAGGGCCTAAAAGCACACAAGATGGCAGTGTCTTTCTGCTCCAGATTTAAGGATAATTCCCAGCTTTCAAGGACCAAAAGAGAGCATTCTTCTAATCCACCCACCCTACTCCCAAAGCACAGGCTGCCCTCAGGCTCCACATGCCACTGCTGTCACTGCACCAAGGACTTCCCAGAGTGGTGGCACAGTGCTGGCCACTCATCCTCCACTCCTGCCAAGGAGGACATGCCATGAAATTCTCTGGCTGTGTGCCTGCAAGCCTCCTCTCCCACCCTCCTCCACTGTCATGAGCTGCACAGCTCTCCCCCACACAGCCGACGAGGATGGATGGTGGGTGAAAATAAATTCATTTATTTTTGCTGCAAATTCTTCTACATCTTTTGATGAATAAAAGGCCAGTGGGTGGATGGGTGGAAAGACTAGAGCCAAAAGCAATAGCAGAGAGTACTGCTGGAAGAGAGGGGGACAGAGACATCAACCTTCCCCACCAGTGTGAGTCCTACATGACTGACCACAGCAGGTTCCCACAGCTTTCCTAAGGCCCTCAACACTCAACGACTGCTACCTCAAATCCCAAAATTTAACAGCAGTGTTGCTCTGAAAAAGCAGTGCTCTGTCTGCCAGGTACTTATAAAATCCATTGTTTTCTAATATTTCCAGAAAAGCAAGCAAAGCTCTGCTGCCCCAAAACATCCTGAACTAACATTGGGTCCTCCCTGGTGCCAGGTAGGACCCACACACTGAGAGGAGAGGGTTGAGCCAGGTAAAACCCATCCCTGCTTTTCTCAGGGCTGCAGAGAGGACAGAGCAGCTCCTGTGGCAACCACTGTCTGCTGGTGCTAATTTTGCATGGATGTATCCCTGCAGGAAGGAGTTTTTCTTGGAAGCTCAGCACAGGGCAAGTATGGAAATCTAGCTCAGAGGCAGACCCAGGCCAGTCTTCTCCCTCTTTCTTCAGGGGTAGCACTGCTATCTCCTGCAGCTGAGCTCTCATTAACTTTTAGAGGCTTATTTGTGGAACACAATTTCCAGACAGACATGGAACTTCTCAAGGCAATGTCCCTTCAAGCACCGACTGTGGATTTCAGTTCTGCTTTAGCATGTCACAGCGACACAAATGTGAGCAATTCCCTTCCCAGCTCAAAGCTGTCCTGGGTGATGTCCTCAGAGCATCATCCAGATGAGGTGACTAGCAGAGACACTTGGCAGTTACCATCACCACTGCTGGGAACCCACCAGGTGAGCACCAGCTCCTCTGCATGCTTACAGCAGAGCCAGCAAAGCATCTGTGGACTGACCACCATGAGAAAAGGAAGCTGATATTCAGAGAAACTCCACCCAGGCCTTCCAAAATTAAAAAATAGGAACCTGCATCCCTGACAGAGATGTGATGTGCAGGTGTGAGCTCTGGAATGGGGAAGGAGGCTGCCCAAAGGCTCAGTGTGTGTCTTCAGGCCTCTGCTGGGAGATGCAGCATCCTGCACAGGGCAAACATCCCTCTCAGATTTTTCCCCCAGGCTGCTGTGAAGGGGTGAAAGGGGAAAAAAGAAATCCAAACCACAAAAAAACGCAAAAAAATCATCCCTGTGCTTCCCATTGGACAGGACCTGCCACTGTCTGTGTCCCTCACTCTTAATATACCTACATAGAGCCTTGCCAAAAGTGA